GAATTTTATGAGAATACAATCTTAGTATGTATACAAAATTTTAGGCATTTTGTTCAAACCAGTAAAAAGCAATGACAAACAAATTACTTTTTATTTACTCAACTTCATCTCATAATCATAAAAAATTTGCTACAACAGATATCCTTCTCCAAATCATGTTTTAAAGCACAGTCTGTTTCATTTTTCAAAAATTTAAAAAAATAGCCATGTGCTCTTTTCAGTTTTGTTCTTACACATTCAAGTATGTCCTTCATATTTGGCACTTTGATTTATTAGGCAATCTTAGTATTAAAGACTTTTAGGAAAGCAGTGCTAGATTTCAAATGCACTGTGCGTGGTGTCCATGATGAATTAATTCCAGTAGAGCACAAAATTATCATTATTTAAATGTTACTTTCTTTCATGATTTTTATATTGCCATCAAGTTTTTAAAATCAGAATTTAGCTGATATTTAGAGGTGAATTTATGTGCCTTGTAGCATAAGTAGGTTTTCATAGGCCACTCTTCTATGAACCTACATAAATATTTAATGATCAATTTTACAAATATGTAAATGATCAAATAGGTTGTATTTAAGAAAGTATGCATTTTTAATATATATGTGTGTGTATACATATATATGGGTTGGCATAAATTAAATGTCTCTTAATATCACTCTAAACAAGTTTCAGAGAAAATGAGCAATAGTTATAAACTTTGTATATGTGTAAGTATGTAGTCTTCATTTTATACAAAAATATTTTTCTTTCATTTGATTATTGAATGGTAAAATGACAGACAGAAAGGAGATTTAATGTTAAAGTGCTGATCATCTGAGTTTATGTCTGTATAGAGAGGTAGTCCTCAATGGGGATGAGAAGGGCATATTTTTTTCTTTCCTACATCCTTGACACTCGTGGTTGACTTGATTGACCAACTGACCTATCATAGATAGGTCATACATGCAACTATGGGAGGGAGTAGAGAGTGAATGAGAGGAAAGAAGGAAGGGAGGGATAGACGGAGGGAAGATGAGGGAAAGGGAAAGAATAAAGCCAAGAGAGGTGACTAGAGAGAAAAATAAGTTGAGTAAGGCACAAAGACCAATAGTGTCCCTTGTGGTGGTTTGGATAACACAATTAACTGTACTTGCCCAGGTCAAATTTTGAACTTTGAAACATTGCACTGTATGCAGAATAGGACCTATGCAGGTTTCTGTTACCATTCCGGCATATAACTATTTCACATGGTACAGTTTTATACCAATTGAACCTATAACTCTAAGAGGAAAAAATAAAACCAACAAGTGTAGCATTCAGTAGTACCCTATCATAAAGTAAGGAGGTCTAATTGAGCTATGTCTTTATATCCTGCTATTTGTACAAATAAAAGACTACATCTTGATGCAAAATAAACACAAAAGCACTGTTGTGACTATAACAGGGAGTCATATACTAATTTATATAATAAGTGGTTGTGCACGCTTTATTCAAGATTATGGCTGCAAGAAATGGCATGAATTGCTGGGTGTGTTTAATGCTGGATTATAGCAATTTGAAACATGTCAAACACATGGCTAATGCCTCATGCTTCACTCATTCTTGCGTAAACCTGCATAGCCACCATCCATTATACCCTTGGTAACAACACAATTCTGCAAGTAAATATTGTTACACTAAGTAACCTTTCAATTCAAGTTGTTTAGGAAGAGAAAATGCAATCTTGTGCAGTCAGTTCCAGTGTCAGTTTAATGTTTCAAAAGGGAAGTGGTGTAGAGAATAAGTATCTATCTGTACAGTGACTTGCTTAAAAAAGGCAGAAAGGAAAAGGAAAGAAAAGAAAACTTAATGTGAGAAGGAAAGTAGAACTATATTGTTTGAGTGCAAGATCTGCAGAGTTCATTTCTGATGTGGCTGAATAGTTGTAACTGATGAAAGTCTTAAGGGTTTAACTTACACCCAGACAAACATTAAAATAGTGACTTCCAAACTCACCTTCCCCTTTAATGACCTGGAATTTATTTTCACTGATTTTTTTTTTTTGATTTTTGTAAAATGTTTGTGGTAGGATTGAGAAGAATGAATAATTTAGTCCAATGTGTTTGGGATCGCAAGCACATCCTCTCTGAAAGAATATGCTGAATTTATAATTATTTAAAATATACTTTTAAAGGTAAACATTTCAGTAGAAATATTGTGTCTGGTGGGAAATAAGTATGCAGGTGATACTTGGAAAAACTTAGTAAATACTAGAAGTCATCTTCATTATCCCTGAAGAAATATCTTCTTTACAGTGAACCCACTTCAGGCTTCCTTGCTTTAAGGGAAATGTATATTATATTCATTTAACTACACAGTTGTTTTCCTTTTTTGTGCTAATGTTGAGTTAGAAGCTCTTTTTGTAGAGCAAAAGGCACTGTCACATTTACAGTCTTATTTTCTTAATTCTTAGATGACTGAACTTAAAATGTAAATCACAACTTATACTCTAGGGCTTTATAAAGTCAAATATTCCACAAGGGATAGTATAAAAAAAACCGCTTTAGTTGTTAAGAATTGGAAGTTACACAAGTCTTTCTTCATAATTGTAATAAAGGTTTAAACACATGATTTTCTGCTTGTTGGTTATTTATACTTATTTGAGGACCTCTATTATAACATAGTAATTCATACAGAATTTTTAAATTCATCCAATTGATCATGACATAAAAACACATAGGTTAATAGGCTAAATATTGTATCTATTTGCTATATTTGAAGACACAGTTATTCTCTTTTTATGCTTTGTGTTGCAAATTTCATCCAGATACAATAAGTATTTCAGATAAATTTGAGCAATCAGATAAAACATATATGTTCAGACATACAACTCAGATATTTTGTGTAAAGTAAAATTTAAATGCAATATGTAGAAGTTATATCTATCTGTTTCTACAGTTGGAGAGGATCAAAATTATAATTTTCATACAACTAGTAAAAGCAATCAGACCCTTTCTCTGAATATTTTAAACATTGTGCATGTAAAATTTATGCCTAATTTGAATACTTATTAGCCGCCTAATCTCAGAAAAGAGTATTAGGTTTGTTTTTTTCCCTTATAAAATCCATCACTGTGTATCAGTTTTCATTTATATGATTTTTCTTTGTTAATGTTCAATAAGATGTTTAACAAAACCCCTATTTATTCATGAGCTCATTTTGTTTAAAAGTTGTTTACTATAGTTGCAGGAACCACTTCATAATCATGTGTGTGTGTGTGTGTGTGTGTGTGTGTGTGTGTGTGTGTGTGTGGTTTGCTCTTTTATTATCTGAACAGCTTTAAGTTGTAAGTGTGATTTCTATTATACTGACTTGCTTTTCTACCTCAGCCACTGCGGCTGGTGTGTCATAAATCAGTATGTCTTTTCATTGACTCTTTAGAATTGCAAAAATAATCTAAGAATTTAGTCTTTGATGAAAATATCTGTTAAAACAATTAAGCTATAACTATTAATTTTAATAATTTTCGGCATCGGGAAGTATCTATTAGATACCTGTTTGTGTTTCTCTGTGTAAGTAGGTGTGTGTGTGTGATCCCCCATTACTAGATATCTGCTGAAACTGATTTCTCTCTGACAGGAAGAATATATTAAGCTTTTATTTGCTTTATAATAAGTACATTTCAAAGTTTAAAATAGACAAAAGTCTTGAAATAAGACCAAGTTTCAGAAAATGGAATCAGGTAGAAAATAATTAGATTGAGTGTTAAGTTTAATGTCTTCTTTACTTAAGGTAAAGTCCACTGTCTAGGTAGCATTCATTCCTATTAAAGTCACAGGCACAACCAGGCTGTTTCTGAAATTCTGTCCGCAGAAGTAAAACAGGGAAGTGCATTTATTACCTTATAGCGTAGGATTCAGATGTCTTTGAGAGCCCAAACTGATCTTTCTAAACTATACACTCAAGATATACTGTGAAATTCTGGTTTGTAAGAGCACATTGGATCTTTATTTACTGCAAGGATTTCCACTGATCTTGGCAGGACATCTCATTGCTATCCTGAAAGTACAGTATATTTATGCAGTGAAAATGATAAAACATTTATTACTGTAGAGAAGGTAATATGCATAATTTATGCTGTTTTTAGCACAATCATTAGTGATATTCTTGATAGATTTTATTTCCAGCTTTCATATCTAATACATGCCTGGAAAATTAATTTTATATCTTTCATTTATTTGCCTATGTTAAAATTGAGTTTTAAGTCATCTTCAAGTGAACAGTTTGATTGCTGCTCATGCATAAGCTTAATTACTTCCTAGGAAGGACAGTATTAAATGTTTTAAATGTCAGAAAAATAAATGAATATGAGGTGTTTGATTAAAAAAATAGGCAATATCTGACGTGTTTGCAGCAGGAGCTTTTTCTTAAAATGCCTCCAAGGCAAAATTTTATTTAGTCACAAAAAAGAGAGAGAGAAACCCATTATACTATTTATCATTGGTTGATACCATATGATTTGTAATACCCTTACAAAATTTTAATTTTGTATGATTAGCTGTGCATCATTAAACAACAGCCTTACATAAGATGTGCTGTAAAATTCTGACAGAATCAAGATAGTGAACATTTAAAATAAGGCTGGATAGTCATGCATGGTTTTCAAAGGTAGATAATAGGAAACAGAGAACAGAGTGTGCAATTGTGCCTTCGTTTAAGCTGGTTTTATGAGTAGACTTTAAAATGTGGCCGTTCATAAATGCTATTGGCCATACTATATGTATGGTGTGTTACTTTGGCTATTAAATGTAAGCACACAAAAATTACTTACAGAAACCCTAATTTCAGTGATTACTATCTGCATGAATTTGGATTGCACGCTGAATTTGGATTGCATTTCTTAGCAAATGATTATTCAAGGCTTCCCCCCCCCCCCCTTCTTTCTAAAGATGCTGTCTCTGTAATTGGCAGAGAGGGACATCTTGATAATGGAAGTGTGAAGGTGTAACGTGTGTTAATTGATACTTCTTAATCACTTTTAGGTATTAAGTCATGATGCAGGAATCTGCGACAGAGACAATAAGCAACAGTTCAATGAATCAAAATGGAATGAGCACTCTAAGCAGCCAATTAGATGCTGGCAGCCGAGATGGAAGATCAAGTGGTGACACCAGCTCTGAAGTAAGCACAGTAGAGCTGCTGCATCTGCAACAACAGCAGGTAAGTTTTGTTTCCCTCAGTGCTTACTTAAAACAGATGCGCCTTCTTTCTTAAATGGGAGAGTTGTGCTCATAGCACATTGAGCATGTTATTTTAAACCTAAGGATGCTGAGAATTTGGGATTCTTTGGAACATGAATTAAGAGATGAGTAAAAGGATTTATTTTCCTATTAGTTACGTCATACCAGTACCTATTGCCCTTCAGGTGTCAGGATATTAATTAAGTTCACAGGATGATTTTTTTTTTTGGAAAGGTACTGTACATAGCTTTGTAACAAATATTTTACAGTTTTAGTTCACTGTCTAAAATTGTGCTGCAGAACGTGATATTTGATTTTCCACCAGAGGGCCACATTACTTGATACTTGCTTATACAATGAATTTCTTCCAAGTCTGAGCTAAGGTGAAAGGGACCACAAGGACTTTCACAACACAGATGCTTGCCTGTGAGGGTTGCAAATATTAGCTATTAATTAGTTGAACTCTGAGGAGAGATGGTGAAATGCATAAATAGCCTGACAGTCTATGTTGCTTTTCTTGGAAACTTATTCGAGAATAATTTGTATGTGCATCCTTCAGGGACATTAAGGAACACTTTTTGTGTTCTGGTGTCTCAGAAAATGCAATTGTGTTCTCTAAATCTAGAATAATAAACAACTAAAAAATAGAATCAGAGTCCTAAGAAGTCTACTCTCCTTTTTATGAGACAGATTCTTTTTGTCAGTGAAAATTTCTTTCTATCACAGAATGCATACCTTTACTGACTGAAGTCTGTAAAAACAATGACAGAACAGAAAGCTTTCAAAGCATAGATTAGCCCAGAACATACCTGTTTGAAAAGGTTCTAGTTGTCCTAAAACAAAGACTATTTTTAAAACCTCTGGATTTCATTTAGACTAAACATAAAAAGTGAATGAAATTAAATCTATTAAAATAATGAATTATTACTAAAGTGCTTCAAATTAAGTGATATATCATTCTCATTCTAAAGGTAAGCTACAATGAGAAAATGAACTTGAAAGTTGGGGCAAATGCCTACCCTAAAGAAAAATTATTAGAATCATTACTTTAAATAAAAACATGATTTTAAAAGTTAGATGGATAGAATAATACCTACCCTTGAACATTGTTTTCAAGAATAATCTTTTAAAATAGCTAGATATAACACTTTGAATGGGGTTGGTATTATTTTAGAAGTGTATCATTTTTCATAGATAATAATTATTAGGATGGCAAGTTTAATTTTGTTTGGAAATATTTTACATTAATATGCATGGGAATTAAATTCTACCTATGAGTCCAAGAACTAGTTTATTTTGCAGATTAATAAATGAAGGTTTCATGATAGTCCTCTTCTTTTTTTTAACTGTATTTTTAGGAAATATCAATGTAGTGCTGTAACATTTTTTACTAACTCTCTTCTGTAAGTGTTGTAAGCATTTATTATAGCTAGATTATATTTTGCTTGAGATCCAGTGAGCTACTGTGAAAATCACAATTGAAAATGAACATCAAAATTGTGTACTAATAGACAGATTCTGAGGGGAAATATCAAAACTTTCTTTTTCTTCAAATGTCTGATTAGATCTTAAATAAACATAAAGCAGTAAAATTTGGCTATATGTTATAGCACTCATGAGGCTTTTATGAATAGGCCTATAAGGTGTGTTTATAATCTGAGCTTGAGGTGTACTTTGTTCTACACATTTCATTCATGTAAATTATGAACAGGACTAAATATAAAAGTTAAGTCCATTGCAGGGTTTTGAAACGAGTCATGTAGTTATGGAGTACCTTTGAAAAAGTGGTTTGACACAGTGGGTGAGGTAGGTGTCACACAGATGTTTTAGAAAGGATCCACAGGAAGGAATGTAATATTTTAATCAGTAAACAAGCAAAACCCTTTAAAATGTCCCTTCCTTTGCTTATTCTAGCTATATTTCCATAGTTGGAATCCTGAGGTTATTGACTTATTTTTGTTTTTCTGTGAGTATATTTTTTAGACTAGGCCTTTAACTTAGTTAAGGTTTAGTATGCCTTTTGTATAAAATTAATGTGATTATTGTTTTTTAATGCCAACAAATTTCAAATTTTCAGATGAACTATGTAGCAAATATTTTTCCACTACTAAAAAAACCCAAATTCATAGAAAGTGAAAAAGTGAGATGATTTTTATAGATTTACCATTGCATGTTGTTATTTAAATGTGATGTTTCACAACCAATATTAAGTCACTAATCACTGCTGGTCAATAAATCTTATTTAGAAATGTAAGGTGGAACATCATGACTGATGTAAAATGTAAAATTTTACTTGCTGCGA